ATGTGCAGCAATTCATAATTAGTTTTGCTTGGATTTTATTCTTTCAACTTAATTATATTGGTTGCTTCCTCCTCCTCCTCCTCCTCCTCCTCCTCTTCTTCAAATTCGCAGCAATTCAAAATTTGTTTTGCTTGGATTTTATCTTTTCAACATAATAAGATAGACTGGTTGTTTCCTTCTCCTCCTCCTCCTCCTCCTCCTCCTACCTTCTCCTCCTTCAATGAGCAGCAATTCAAACTTTGTTTTGCTTGTTTTATCCTTTCAACATAATAAGATAGGCCGTTTGTTTCCTCCTCCTCCACCTCCTCCTTCTCCTTCTCCTCCTCCAATGCGCAATTCAAATTTAGTTTAGCTTGGAATTTATTCTTTCAACATAATAAGATAGACTGGTGGTTTCCTCCTCCTCCTCTGCCTCCTCCTCTGCCTCCTCCTCCTCCTCCTTCTCCTCCTCCAATGTGCAGCAATTCAAAATTTGTTTTGCTTTGAGTTTATCCTTTCAACATAATAAGATATACTGGTTGTTTCCTCCTCCTCTCTCATTCTCCTCGTTCTCCTCCTCCAATGTGCAGCAATTCATAATTAGTTTAGCTTGGATTTTATTTTTTCAACATAAGATAGACTGGTTGTTTCCTCCTCCTCCTCCTCCTCCTCCTCCTCCTCCTCCTCCTCCTCCTTTCTCCTCCTCCAATGTGCAGCAATTCGAAATTTATTTTGCTTGGATTTTATCCTTTCAACATAGTAAGATAGACTGGTTTTTTTCCCCTCCTCCTCCTCCTCCTTCTCGTCCTCCAATGTGCAGCAATTCATAATTAGTTTTGCTTGGATTTATTCTTTCAACATAATTATACTGGTTGTTTCCTCCTCCTCCTCCTCCTCCTTCTCCTCCTCAATTCGCAGCAATTCCAAATTTGTTTTGCTTGGATTTTATCCTTTCAACATAATAAGATAGACTGGTTGTTTCCTCTTCCTCCTCCTCCTCCTCCTCCATTCTTCCTTTTCTTTAGGCATCAAATAACAATATTTTAGCTTGAAATTTATTTTCAACATGATAAGATTGATAGTTTATCTTTTTCCTCCTTTTTTCTGATTTTCCTCCTCCTCCTCCTCCTCCTCCTCCTCCTCCTCTGCCTTCTTCTCGTCTTCATTTATCGTCCAGCAATTCAGTTTTACTCGCTTGGATTTTATTCTTTTTACTATAATACGATTTACTGATTTATTTTTAATCTTTCTTCTCTACCACCTCCTTTTTCTCCTCCTGCTCCTCCTCCTCCGGGAAGCAGTTCACAATTGTTCTAGCCTGGATATTATTCTTTCAACATAGTAAGTTTGACGGATTCTTTCTTTTTCCTCTTTCTCCTTTTCCTCTTCCTCTCCTTTTTTTTCTTTTCTTCCTATTTTTTCTCCTTCTCCTTCTCGTCCAGGCAGTAATTCACAATTTCTCTAGCTTGGAATTTATTCTGAAGTATTTACACCAGGGCATAAGTAACTTACCTTGTGACTTAACTGAAGTATTTCAAATTGTTTAGAATTTACTGCGGTGTAACTTACTTACCTTGTGACTTAAGTATTTACAATCGTTAAGTATTTACTGGGCTTAGCTTACTTACCTTGTGACTTAAGTATTTACAATTGTGAAGTATTTACAACTGGGCGTAACTCACTTACCTTGTGACTTACTAAGTATTTACAATTGTTAAGTATTTACAACTGGGTGTAACTTACCTTGTGTCTGACGTATTCCATTATATATATTGATGTAAGGAGACTTGTGATTTTTTCGCAAAACTTTCTGTTCTTCTTTATCTCATGAAAATAACTTTTGTGTTTTATGTAAGCAACTCTACTTGTCATATGTAAAAGCAGACCCTGAGTGCAATAAGGTTGTTGGTGAAGCATAACTTCTGAACCCTGCAGACGTTTTCTGTCTGTCATCTTTTATGTTCTGCAAACCCCCTATCCAGCTTGGGACCCTCTTGCTGGCCAAGAGCCCCCAGCTGACGTGCTACTCCTCTCAAAGATTTACTGAATGTTTCCTCCTTTTCCTCCTCTTTCTAGCAATGCAAAATTTTTGTAGTCTGGATTTATTCTTTAAACATAATAGCAACGACTGACTCCTCCTCCTCCTCCTCCTCCTCCTCCTTCTCCTCCTCCAAAGCGAAGCAATTCAAAATTTCTTTTGCTTGGATTTTATCCTGTCAACATAATAAGATAGACTGGTTGTTTTCTCCTCCTCCTCCTCCTCCTCCTCCTCCTCCTCCTCCTCCTTCTCCTCCATATCCTCCTTTTCTTTAGGCAGCAAATCACAATTTTTTTAGCTTGAAATTTATCTTTCAACATGATAAGTTTGACTGATACTTTTCTCTTTCTTTTTTTTGTTTCTTTTCCTCCTCCTCCTCCTCCTCCACCTTTTCCTCCACTTCCTCCTTCTCCTCCTCCTCCACCTCCGCCCCATCCTCTCTGTTACTGGGCAGCTATTCAAAATTTTAAGGTTGTATTTATGCTTCAACATAATAAGGATTAACTGGTTTTCCTCGTTTTGCTCCTCCTTCTCCTCCTCCTCCTCCTTCCTCCTCTCCTCCTCCAATGAGCAGCAATTCAAACATTGTTTTGCTGTTTTATCCTTTCAATATAAGATAGAATGGTCGTTTTCCTCCTCCTCTCCTCTTCCTCCTCTCCTCTCCTCCTCACTCATCTCTCCTCCCCAATGGCACAATTCAAAATTAGTTTAGCTTGGATTTTATTTTTTCAACATAAGATAGACTGGTTGTTTTTTCTCCTCCTCCTCCTCCACTGCGCAGAAAGTTCAAAATTAGTTTGCTTGCATTTTATTCTTTAAGACGTAATAGACTGGTTGTTTCCTCTCCTCCTCCTCCTCCTCTTGTCCTCCTCCAATGCGCAGCAATTCAAAATTAGTTTTGCTTGGATTTTATTCTTTAAAACATAATAGGAAAGACTGGTTGCTTCCTCCCCCTCCTCCTCCTCCTCCTCCTCCTCCTTCTCCTCCTCCAATGCACAGCAATTCAAAATTAGTTTTGCTTGGATTTTATTGTTTAAACATAATAAGATAGACTGGTTGTTTCCTCCTCCTCCTCCTCCTCCTCCTTTTCCTCCTCCTCCTCTTTCAATGCACAGCAATTCACAATTTGTCTAGCTTGGAATTTATTCTTTCAACATAATAAGATTGACTGATTGTTTTCTTTGTTTCCTCCTCCTTTATCTCACAGCAGTTCACAATTTTTTTATCTTGGATTTATGCTTTAATCAAAATAAGATTCACTTATTTATTTTTTCTTTTCCTCGTTTTTCTCCTCCTCCTCCTCATCCATCCAAGAATTCACAATATTTCAACATGGATATAATTATTTCAACATGATAAGATTGATTGTTTCCTTTTCCTCCTCTTCCTTCTCCTCCTCATCCTCTTCCTCCTCCTTCTCCTCCTTCTCCTCCTTTTTCTTTTCCTTCCCCCGAGCAGCAATTCACAATTTTTCTAGTTTGGATTTTATGCTTTCAACATAATAAGATTGAGTGATGTTGTTTCCTCCTCCCTCCTTTTTTCCATCCTCTTCCTCCTCTCCTCCTCCCTCCTCCTCCTCCTCCTCCTCCTCCAATGTGCAGCAATTTACAATTGTCTAGCTTGGATTTTTTCTTTAAACATAATAAGATTGAATGATTGTTTCCTTTTCCTCTTCCTCCTTCTTTTCCTCCTCTTCCTTCTCCTCCTCCTCCTTTTCATCCCCCTTTATGGGGGTAGCAATTCACAATTTTCATAGGTTGTATTAATGCTTCAACATAAGATTGACTGGTTGTTTCTCTTCCTCCTCTCCTCCTCCTTCATGCAGCAATTCACAATTTTATTAGCTTGGAATTTATTCTTCCAGCATAAGATTGACTGATAGTTTTTTCTTTCTCCTTTTCCTTCTTCTTTTTTTCCTCCTCCTTTTTCTTCTCCTCCTCCTCCTCCTCCTTCTCCTGCTCCTCCTCCTCCTCCCTCTGCCTTCTCCTCCTCCTCCTCTATCGTCCAGCAATTCACAGTTTTTCTAGCTTGGATTTTATTCTTTTCACATAATAAGATTTACTGATTCTTTCTTAATCTTCCTTCTCCACCACCACCACCTCCTCCTCCTGCTCCTCCTCCTCCTCCAGGCAGCAATTCACAATTTTTCTAGCTTGGATATTATTCTTTCAACATAATAAGTTTGACGGATTCTTTCTTCCTCCTCCTTCTCCTTTTCCTCTTTTTTCTTCTCTTTTTTTTTTTTTATTTTTTTAATTTTATTTTTTTTTGCTTCCTTCTACTACTCCTCCTCCTTCTCCTCCGGGCAGCAATTCACAATTTTTCTAGCTTGGATTTCATTCTGAAGTATTTACACCTGGGCATAATTAACTTACCTTGTGACTTAAATGAAGTATTTACAATTGTTTAATATTTACTGTGTGTAACTTACTTACCTTGTGACTTAAGTATTTACAATTGTTAAGTATTTACTGGGCTTAGCTTACTTACCTTGTGACTTAAGTATTTAAAATTGTTAGGTATTTACAACTGGGTGTAACTTACCTTGTGACTGACGTTTTCCATTATATTTATCTGATGTAAGGAGACGTGATTTTTTTTGCAAAACTTTCTGTTCTTCTTTATCTCATGGAAATAACTTTTGTGTTTTATGTAAGCAACTCTACTTGTAACATCTACAAGCAGACCCTTAGTGCAATAAGGTTGTTGGTGAAGCATAGCTTCTGAACCCTGCAGACGTTTTCTGTCTGTCACCTTTTATCTTCCGCACACCCCCTATCCAGGTTGGGACCCTCTTGCTGGCCAAGAGCCCCCAGCAGACGTGCTACTCTTCTCAAAGATTTACTGACTGTTTCCTCCTTTTCCTCCTCTTTCTAGCAATGCAAAATTTTTGTAATCTGGATTTTATTCTTTAAACATAATAGCATTGACTGTTTCCTCCTCCTCCTCCTCCTCCTCCTCCTCCTCCTCCTCCTCCTCCTCCTTTTCCTCCTCCTCCTTCTCCAATGCGCAGCAATTCACAATTTGTTTTGCTTGGATTTTATCTTTTCAACATAAGATAGACTGGTTGTTTCCTCCTCCTCTTCCTCCTTTTCCTCCTCCACCTCCTCCTTTTCCTCCGGGCAGCAAATCACAATTTTTTAGCTTGGAATTTATTCTTTCAACATGATAAGATTTACTGATAGTTTTCTCTTTCTTCTTCTTGTTCTTCTTTTTTTTCTTTTCCTCCTCCTCCTCCTCCTCCTCCTCCTCCTCTTTCAATGCACAGCAATTCACAATTTGTCTAGCTTGGAATTTATTCTTTCAACATAATAAGATTGACTGATTGTTTTCTTCGTTTCCTCCTTTTTTATCTCACAGCAGTTCATAATTTTTTATCTTTGATTTATGCTTTAATCAAAATAAGATTCACTTCTTGTTTTCTCTTTTTTCTTTTCCTCGTTTTTCTCCTCTTTTTCCTCATTCATCCAACAATTCACAATATTTCAACTTGGATATAATTATTTCAACATGATAAGATTGACTGATTGTTTCCTTTTCCTCCTCTTCCTCCTCCTTCTTCTCCTTCTCCTCTTCCTTCTCCTCCTTCCCCAAGCAGCAATTCACAATTTTTCTAGTTTGGATTTTATGCTTTCAACATAATAAGATTGAGTGATTGTGTCCTCCTCCTCCTCCTCCTCCTCCTCCTCCTCCTCCTATAATGTGCAGTAATTTACAATTTGTCTAGCTTGGATTTATTCTTTAAACATAATAAGATTGAATGATTGTTTCCTCCTCCTCTTCCTCCTTCTCCTTTTTCTCTTTTTCCTCCTCCTCCTCCTCCTTTTCAATTTTCAATGAAGCTGAAGCTGAGGTACAGAAGGCCCATGATTATAATATGTATACATATTTTTTAAGTTCACAATAACAAATCATAGTTTATATATAAAAGGAAAGAGAAAATGCAGAAACATAAAGCAAGTTGAGAGAAGTTAGAGTTGAACCATTATGATAATGAGAGTATTTTATTGCTGAATTAAAATACAAAAGTAGCTCAAGTAAGAAAACAAAATCTATTCATTTTTCTTTAGAGAAAACCTAAAACAAAATAATAGAGTCACGCATTGCTTAATGACAGAGATTCAGTCTGAGAAATCCGTCATTAGGCAATTTCATCATCATGCAAACATCATAGAGTGTCCTTACACCAGCCTAGATAGTATGGCCTACTACACACCTAGGCTGCATAGTATGGCCCCTGACTCTGAGGCTACAAACCTGTACAGCATGGTGCTGTACTGAATACTACATGTAACTAGTACAATGGTAACGATTTGTGTATCTAAATAGAAAATGTACAGTAAAAGTACAGTGTTATAATCTTATGGGACCACCATCACAAATGTCCTTCATCATGGATCAAAACATCATTGTGTGGTATGTGACTGTATATATATATATATGGTGAAAAACTCAATAAATTCCCTGAAGTAATAATTGTACCAAATATATTTTCTGACTATAACACAATAAACCTAGAAATAAATTTATGTTTAAATTACAAGAAAAAGCCAAGCCACTGGAGATTGAAAAATGAATTTCAAAGAGAATATAAAATATGCAATTAGAATATGAGAACATTATATATAAAAATATATTAAATGTAGACAATATTACACATGGAAACAAATTGTAGCCTAAACATTTTAATTAGTAAAAAGCAGTAAAGAGAGTACTGAATGCAAGAACTGTAAGAAACTCCATATTAACTGGTCATAGTACTAAAATAACACAATGTTTACAATAGCAAAAAATTTAGAGCAACTGTATCTTTAACAATAAAAAATATTTTAACAGATGGCCAAGTGCAGTGGCTCATGCCTATAATCCCAGCACTTTGTGAGTCTGAGGAGGGTGGATCACGAGGTCAAGAGATCAAGACCATCCTGGTCAACGTGGTGAAACCCCGTCTCTACTAAATAATACAAAAATTAGCTGGGCATGGTGGTGCCCGCCTGTAGTCCCAGCTACTTGGGAGGCTGAGGCAGGAGAATTGCTTGAACCGGAAGAGTGGAGGTTGCAGTGAGTCAAGGTTGCGCCACTGCACTCCAGCCTGGGTGACAGAATGAGACTCTGTCTCAAAAAATTAAAAAAAAAAAAAGAAAAAAGCTAATAGTGTTTGTTTCTGAGTCATTAAATTATAGATTTTTTTTTGTTGTTTAATTTCTTTTACATTATCCATATTTTCAGTTTTTCTACAAGGGACATGTATTATTTGTGAAACAAAGAAATCAAGGGTCTATTAAAGATGAAAGCAAAATAATTAGGAAACAAAAAATAAGTTAAAAGAAAAAATCTGAGAGCTATTTCTCTAAAAAATATAGATAAGCCTAACAATTTTGAGAACAAAGAGAAATATTTAAACAAGTAAATATGCAAATTAAATAATGAGAAATGGACTAAAACAACTAAAATACATATTTTAATTAAAATATTGTAAATATCATCAGATCTATTTAAATGTCAATAAACTAATAATTATCTGGAAATAAAGAAAATAGACTCTAATAAATTTATGAAAACCTGAATTAAGGTTTGGAAATGTTAACGATTTACCTTTTCCCAAAGGCTCTGGGTCCAGGTAGTTTTATAAAGTATTTATTTTAAACTTCCAAAGAATAGTAACCCCCATGTCAGAAAATCTACTTAATTCATTCAATAAATATAGCAAAAACCTGACACTAGGATATGACAATTGCAATATAAGAAAGAAACTTACAGTAGTCCCTGTAATTTACAGAGCATATGTTCCAAGGCTCTTTGTGGCTGCCTGAAACTGCAGATAATAGTGAGCCCTACAGACACTACATTTCCTCCCATACATACATACCTATGATAAAGTTTGATTTATAAATTAGGCACAGTAAGAGATTAACCACAATAACAAAAACTAAAATAGAACATGTATAACAATATACTGTAATAAAGATCATACAGATGGGTGTTCTTGCTCACTCTTTCTCTTGTTCTCTCTCAAAATATATTATTATACTGTACTATGAATAACTGAAACTGCAGAAGACAAAACCATGGATAAGAGGGACCCCTGTACAACCAATCACATTTACAGAAGAGGATGTAAGTATCCTATATAAAATACGAACATAATTTAGTGAAAAATCAAAAGAACAACAATGACCTGGTTAGATGTATTCCTAAAATAAATGTTAGTTTAATATTAGTACACCTATTAATAAAATATAGCTCTATGCATATTAATATATAAAAAAGGAAAAGCATCATATATAATTATTTCAATGGATGATACAAAAGCATTTGCTAAACTCAACTTCCATTCCTGGTTTAAAAAACTTTAAGAGAGCTAGAAATAATAGAATGGCTCTGTAATATACTAAAGAATACCACTCTAAAACAAGTTGTCAGCACTGATACACCAGACTCTCTAGTGACTAGAGAGATTCCTATTAAAATCAGGAAGAAAATAAGAATTACTAGAAATACCTGTCAAATAAAAGATTCAGACCTTTCCAAAACCACATCTTCACCTGTTTGCCTCCTTGACTTTCTCCTATTCAGGGCTCAGACAAGAGTGAAGCAAGCGAGGCCCCTAAAGGACAGAACTGAAGGATATACTCACTCTTGGGGTTATGAAAGTTTAAGGTCGACAGTTGTGAGACCCTGACAGTGAGCACCTCCTTCCCTTAAAAAAATCTCTCTTATCTCACCCTAGTTCCAGCCCTGCACATAATCCTTCTCTTTTGCAAACTATACTAGCTCTTTCTCCTTACAAACTAAAGTCAGCCATTTGTAAACAGCCAGCCAGTCTTTAGAATTGTAGATGTTTCAAGAAGAAATTAAACAGCAGTCCCCTGTGGTTCATGTGTTTCTGAATTTTCCAACTTCTCTCATCAACTAAATCCTATTGAAGCCTTCCCACCTCAACTGCTCGCTTTCCAAAGAAATGAACTTAATGAATTCTCTATAGGTAATCCTCAAAGACCAGACCCCTTTATACTCACAACATATGTGTGAAAGTTAGTAGTTGGGAAGTCAGTTTTAATATATGTCTTACAATATATATTATTTTAGGATCTTAGATAAAACCTTTATTTTAATAATTTACTGTCAGTTAATTGTTCTCTTTAGTTCAAAGACTTTAAAGAGTAAAATAAGTGGCTGGGTTCAGTGGCTCATGCCTATAACCCCAGCACTTTGAGAGGCTGAGGTGGGCAGATCACCTGAGGTTAAGCATTAGAAACCAGCCTAGCCCACACGGCGAAACCCATCTCTACTAAAAATATATAAATTAGCCAGGCATAGTGGCAGATGGCTGTAATTCCAGCTACTCAGGAGGCTGAGGCCAAAGAGTTGCTTGAACCCCAGAAGCGGGAGTTGCAGTGAGCTAAGATTGTGCCACTACACTCCAGCTTGCTTGGGAGACAGGAGACTCCATCTCAAAAAAAAAAAAAAAAAAGTAAAATAAGGTAATATATGATATATGTACAAAATGTTTTAAGAGTGAGACTATTCTCTAAATGCTAACTATTATTAATTAATATTTCTTTTTTATCAAAATGTGCTACATGCATATGGTCATTTACATGTTATTAGAGTGGGGCCTATCAGAGGAGGAAAAAACTATTTACAAAGTAACATGAAAACATATAGAACTTGAAAAGGCTGTCTGAATAGTATTATAATGCCTTTACTTTGCATAATTCTACAGCTCCCATATCCTAAATCTATGTCCTATCTTCCTATGTGTTTAAACAGATTAAAACTGACAGTGAACAGAGGCTTTTAATGTGTTTCATGATATTTTTTCTTCTCGGAGAGGCAAGTTCTTGCTAGGGAACATATTTCTCAAATGCATCTGAAGCTTATCATATTTAATGTTGCATTTTTAGAATCGTTTTGCACATAAATTCATCTCATTATCAAATAATTTTTCTGAAACAATTTTGTATAGGACCAAGATACTACACACATAAATAAACTGCAGTGAAGAATACAAAATTTTAAAACTATAATAATAATACACTAAGGTAGATAGAATCATAAATATATATATATATTCAATAAATGCCTGCTTAAATATCACTGACATTTAGAAAGTATTTCTAAGTATGGCGTTGATCAACATACATTGACTCACCTTTCCAAAGTTTTCCCTAGTCAACGGGTGATTGTACTACTTACCTAATTGCATCATTGGTCTCTGACACGACTCTCAGATACTCTTTGAAATAATAATAATTAAAGACGTATTTCCGAACCCTGTAGCCCCGCCATCGTCTCTGAATCTATTAAAGTAAATAAAAAGATAAAATATGTCATTAAATATTTTTATTAAAAAATGTAATAGCACTTAAAAATTAAGGTAATTATGGCTGATAACTACTATCAAATAAAGTCTTAGGCTTTTCCATTAATATAACAGTATATTAGTTATAAATATAGGTTCTGCTCATAAATTTATTATGAAATATAAAATAAACATAATTTTAGGTTATTATAATTTATTTTAAATTATTTATAATTATTTCACAGAATACTAAACGATTGAAAGATTTGTTAAAATTTGCTTTACAAATTCCTACCATTTCCACTTCCTGGGCAAACCAATTTTTTCTTTCTTTTCATAACCAACTGACTTTAAGATTGTATTTGGTCTCATTGAAAAACACTTTTAGTTTTTGTATTTGGTCTCATTAATGGGCTTCTTAAATTCAGTGGTATCAAAATATTTAAAGAAATTCTTGTATCTCAATTGTGACATTTTAATCCCTCCTTGACAATAACAACAATAGATAACATTTATTGAGTTCATATATGCCAGGCACTAATCTGAGGGTTTTTGCTTATATGTTTGTATTTAATCTTTAGAATACTCCTAACCTTATTTACAGATGTGAAAACAGTTAAAAAAGAGAGGTTACAGTTTTTCTATAAATATACAGCTATTAGGATGAATCCAGGAATTAAATTAGGGCTTCAGAGAGCCTATTCTCATAACCATTGCAATACAGAATTGGGAAAAAAGAGAACTGTGACTTTCAAAAAAGAACATTTTCATTGAAATAATCTGCTTCTTATATCTTTTACTTCAATGCTGACATTCAAATAGTTTTATTTTTAGTAGAACATACAATCAAAGTAGGGTTTTTGTATTGTTGGATGAGAGGAATGTTAGAGGTCTGAGAGACCATACCTATGTCAGATTCTAGATATGTTATACAACCGCAGTAACAATGAGAATCAGTCACTCTTCTTGAATCCTATCTTTGCTAATATAAACATTTTTGCTATATTTTCTAATACCACTATATGAAAATTCAAACAAAATAATATGATATTAATTTGACAGGAAAAAAATACCAGAAGTTATTTAAGTACAGAAAAAGGAAATAACACATATCGAAAAATATTAACGAAATCTTGTGTAAAGATTTACCAACCTTTCCTAAAACTTTTCAAAAGATTAAATATCTATATGAATGATTCTTCCTCCTCCTCATCCTCTTCTGCGTCTTCCTCTGCCTCCTCCTCCTGGCAGCAGAAAAATTCACATTTTTTTCTCTCTTGGATTTTTTTCGTAAAACATAATAAGATTCACTGATTGTTTCCTCCACCTCCTCCGGGCAGCAATTAGAAATTTTTCTAGATTGGATTTTATTCTTTAAACATAATAAAATTGACTGTTTCCTCCCCCTCCTCTTCCTCACAGCAATTCACAATTTTTCTAGCTTGCCTTTTATTTTTTAAACATAATAAGATTGACTGATTGTTTTCTCCTCCTCCTCCACCTACTCTTCCTCCTTCTGTCAGCAATTAGAAATTTTTGTAGCTTGGATTTTATTCTTTAAACATAGTAAGATTGATTTTTCCTCCTCCTCCTCCTCCTCCTCCTCCTCCTCCTCCTCCTCCTCCTCCTCCTCCTCCTCCATCCTCATCCTCGCAGAAATTCACATTTTTTAACTTGGATTTTATTCTCTTTTTTTTTGAGACGGAGTTTCGCTCTTGTTACCCAGGCTAGAGTGCAATGGCGCAATCTCGGCTCATCGCAACCTCCGCCTCCTGGGTTCAGGCAATTCTCCTGCCTCAGCCTCCTGAGTAGCTGGGACTACAGGCATGTGCCACCGTGCCCAGCTAATTTTTTGTATTTTTAGTAGAGACGGGGTTTCACCATGTTGACCAGGATGGTCTCGATCTGTTGACCTTGTAATCCACCCGCCTCGGCCTCCCAAAGTGCTGGGATTACAAGCGTGAGCCACCGCTCCCGGCCAGATTTTATTCTTTAAACATAAGATTGACTGATTGTTTCCTCCTCTTTCAACTCCTCCTCCTCCTCCACCTCTTCCTCCTTGCAGGAATTCACAATTTTTCTAGCTTGGATTTTATTCTTTAAACATAATAAGATTGATCATTTTGTCCTCCTTTTCCTCCTCCTCCTCCTCCTCCTCCTCCTCCACCACCACCTCCACCTCTTCCTCCTCCTCCTCCTCCTGGAAGCAATGCACAATTTTTCTAGCTTGGATTTTATCCTTGAAACATAATAAAATTGACTGATTGTTTCCTCCTCCTCCTCCACCTCCTCCTCAACCTCTTCCTCCTCCTCTTCCTCCTCCTCGTAGCAATTCCCAATTTCTCTAGTTTGGATTTTATTCTTTAAACATAATAAGATTGACTGATTGTTTCTCCTCCTCCTCCTCGTCCTCCTCCTCGTCCTCCTCCTCCTCCTCCTCCTCCTCCTCCTCCTCCTCCTCCTCTCCCTCCTCATAGGAATTCACAATTTTTCTAGTTTGGATTTTGTTCTTTAAACATAATAACATTGACTGATTTTACCTCCTCCCCGGCTTCTTCCTCCCCGTCCCCCTCCCCCTCCTCCTCCTCCTCTTCCTGGCAGCAACAATTCTCAATTTTTCTAACTTCATTTTATTCTTTCTTTCTTTTTTGTTTTTTTTTTGAGACGGAGTCTTAAAGGAAATACATCATCAGCGATAGAAGTGAATCAAGTTACATAGGAAAGTATTACGATATCAGATAGTATTAAGGGAGTATTTTTATCTATCACATTAAAATATCATTTAATTATAAATAAAGTAAGATTAGGAGTGCCAGAAAACCCAAAAGCTGCACGTTGGCATAATGAGAGGAAGGAAGAATGATCAGGGTTTATGATTTGGTAATATCAGAGAAGTGAATATTCCCATTTCTGAGAAAGAGATGTTAAAGGAAAGAAACTGAAATTGTCTGAAAGATTTGTGTTCAAAGAAGAAGAGCTTCCTGTAATTATATTAAAAAAAAAATCCAACAACCTGGGCTCTTTCTTCCCCAAACCCAGCAATTACTGGAAACAGCACCAACCATATCTAGAGAGACTACAACTGGTATGCTTTCAGAAGACATCCGGATGTCCTGACTCCCTACACATCTCTCCAAAGGCAGGCTAAAATTCCTCTCCAAGATAATTCCTTTTATTCAAAATTGGACATTAAAGAATGTAGTAAGTAAGTGATGGTTAAGGTAACAAATTAAAACTCATCCACACTGAAGTATAATTAATCAATCTTTAAGTGGCTTTCCCAGAGATGAGTGGTAAAAAGAGCTGGAGGAAACAGCATTTGAGTGGGTGAAGAAGCTGCCACCAGTGATATGAAGGATCTAAAATTTATTGTGCTCCATGAATGTGCCGGGTTTTATGCTAACTGCTTTTATTCTCACAATATCCTTGTGAATAGGGCATGATCTCCATGTTAAAAATGAAGAAACTGAGGTTAATTTGCTAAGGGTCCCATAAGCAGTAAAACAGTAAATGGAAAGTCAGGATACAAACCCGGGTTTCTCTTACTCCAAAGCCCACACACTCTTTCTACTAAAACATCTTATATGTATATTGTAGAAAAAGAGAAAGTAGTTTCAAAGATCGTATTTTCTTATAGAGAGTCTAGTTTAGCCAATAGCTAACTGATATTGTCAAATACAATATATATGAGATTCTACTATATTTCCTATTACAGAAATGAATGACATCTTAAATTTTGCCTATTCTGTTAGTATTCCAGTACTAGTACATACACTTTAAATTTTTTAAAATGTACTTTCAAGAGGCAAGATAATTTTTGATAACATTTATTCTTAATTTCAACGTGAATGGGTTACTACTTAAAAAGAAAAGAAAAGAAAAATCACTTGTATTCATGTCCTTCAAAGTAATTAGCAACTTTCAAAAGTGATTGGTATAAAACAATTATTGTCATTGATCAGCTCTGACTAGATAATTTTAAACGAAGTCATTGTGTGCTCAGCAGATTACAGCTTGTTAACGGGCAAGTTCTAAATGACCTCTTCAGCTAGTCAAATCAATGATGCATATTCCTCATTAAGTAACATCAAAATGTAAGTGGTCTTATAAATAATGTTTATTTTAAGCACTAAAACAAATGGCAAAACCTTGGTATATTAAAAACCATCTGCCATAGAAAAGACATTCCCTCCATTGGGTTTACTTCTATTCCTGAAAATCCACCACCGGGGCACTTAAGTCTGAAGAAGCGGAAGTGACCTCCGACCTCCAGCCGCTAAGGCCGAGGACGAGGGAGAAGAAGGCTGAAAGGAGACCGAGAGTGAGGGGTCCCGGGGCGAGTAGGCGCAGGGAGAAGTCCCCAGTGCCAGTGGGGAAGAGCGCGCCGAGAGGGACTCCGAGGACTGGTGTGTGCCCTGCAGCGACGAGGAAGTGGAGCTGCCCGCGCATGGGCAGCCCTGGATGCCCCAGCCCTCTGAGATCCAGCAGCTCTATGAACTGCTGGCTGCCCACGGTACCCTGGAGCTGCAAGCAGAGATCCTGCTCCGCCGGCCGCCCATGCCTGAGGCTCAGAGCGAAGAGGAGAGATCCGATGAGGAGCCGGAGGCCAAAGAAGAGGAAGAGGAAAAACCACACATGCCCAAGGAATTTGATTTTGATGAAGACCCAGTGACACCGAAGGACTCGCTGATTGACCTGCCACGCACCCCAGGAAGCTCAGCCCGGAGCCAGAAACGGGAGGCCCGCCTGGACAAGGTGCTCTCGGACATGAAGCAACACAAGAAGCTGGAGGAGCAGATCCTTGGTACTGGGAGGGACCTCTTCAGCCTGGACTCGGAGGACCCCAGCCCCACCAGCCCCCCACTCCGATCCTTAGGGAACAGTCTCTTCCCTCGGCAGCAAAAATACTGACTCCTGCTGCTCCTGCCTCTAGGGTGCAGCGTCTGTACCTGCTGGGACCTGGGCCCTCCTTCCCCAGCCCAGACACTGAGAAACTTGGGAAGAAGAGAGAAACCCCAAGCTCCCAAACAGCACGTTGCAGGAAAAAGGAAGAGAGAGAAGAGAGAGAGAGAGAGAGAGTGAGAGAGTGTGTGTGAAAGAGGAAGAGCGAGAGTGTGTGTGTGCATGTGCGTGTTTTCTATTGAACACCTATTTGGAGACTGGGACTGAATTTTCTGAGTCTGAAATAAAAGATACAGAGCTATCATCTCTTAAAAAAAATGCCACTAAAAGAGAGAGAAAATGTTTCCTCTCTTAACATGAAAAATGAAGGTATGGGGCCGAGAGTAGTGGCTCATACCTGTAATTCCCGATCTTTGGGCAGTGTAGGCAGGCAGATCACAAGGTCAGGAGTTCGAGACCAGCCTGGCCAATATAGTGAAATCCATCTCTACTAAAAATACAAAAAATTAGCCAGGCATAGTGGTAGCTGCTTGTAATCCCAGCTACTTGGGAGGCTGAGGCAAGAGAATCACTTGAACCTGGGAGGTGGAGGTTGCAGTATGTTGAGACTACACCACTGCCCTCCAGCCTGGGCATGAAACAAGACTCCATGTCTCAACAACAACAACAAAAAAAAAAAAAAAAAAGAAAGGAAAAATGAAGGCATGGAAAACAATTTCTTGTTAATAGTTCACTCAGTATTAACACTCTAAGTGTATATGAGAGCACAGACGTAGAACTCAGTTATTCACAATTATACTTTTATTAGAATGCTCAACATTCTAGAAAAGACTGTACATTGAGCACAGAAATAAAGGTTTACTAAATCTTTAAAGATTAGGAATGTAAAAAGTAGTAATATAACCCAAGTTTTCATTATCGGTATCACTGCATTGTCATGCCACAACCACGTATTTATACATAATCTTATATGAAAATATAGTTTCACACATAAAGGACATACATGTAAAAATCTTAACTAGATATTTTTAGCAAAGGATTCTGGATAATTATTTAATGTGCAGTTTCCTCTCTTTAATATTCTGTTTCCCCATTCTCACTGGCTTTCTCTACAAATCTATTTAATCGTTTCATAATGATATTGGTTCTAGAAGTTGAAGGATAAAGGACAAAATAAACTGCTACATGGAGATGAAACATTAAAATATCTGTTCCATCATCAGATAAAAGCTTGATGTTGTCTAGGTGGCCCCTTCTTTTCTTTCCTGGGCTGACATTTTGGGATACCCTGTTTTGTATAAATAAAACTGTGTTATTCATTCTGTATTCCCAGAATCATAAAAAAATGTCTAGGATATAAAAGACCTTCTATATCCTTTCTGAATTAATTTACCTATCTATCTCTAGCTATGTAATCTTGGTGTCATTATTCTAAACACAAATGGTTACTTCATAGTATTGTTAATATGAAAATAGTATTGTAAGTCCTTTAAGGGATTCAGATGAATCTTTATATATCTGACACATATTTAATCATTTTTAAGTAAAGCTACCATATAATCTTTTCTTTCTTTTTTTTTTTTTTTTGGTATTTTAGACACAAGTGGGAAACAAAAGAATATGGTTACTTGATATATCGTTAGATTAATTTTTGTAAATTAAAATGTTTATTATATATGGAGAAAGCTCTAAGGGAAATAAGCCAATAAAGTGATGTTATTTTGCAAATTTGTTGTTTTAAGTGACTTTTGTTCTACTGTTCCTCTTGTTACTATTACTTCTTTTCCCTAAATGTGAGCATTTCTATCTGAACAAAATTGTCTGGGTTGCTATAATCAAGTTAAATAATTTAAAATAATACAGAGTCCATTGAAATTCTCCAAATTCTAGTGGAATTTCACCAAGTAAGTCTACATGATTGATCAGTAACAGGTACAAGGATTCCAGGGTAAAAGAAATTTTACTTGAAACAATTAATTACATCTGTAGTTCTTGAACACTCTGTAAGCTTTTGATTATTACCATTTTTTCATTCCTCACAGATCTTTGAAACTAAGATAAAAACATATGATGGAATTCATTTTAAAAGAGAGAGTGTTAAGATGCTGCACACCAGCATTTCTTGAAATTTGCATTCATGTGATACTGCTCCAGTTGTTGTAGGGCAGACTAGCAAATGAAGACTCAAGATGTATGAGATGACACAATGGAGGCTTTTCAAAGGCATTTCAAGGAACAAATATTTCCCATAGACTTAACCTTTGTTATGTTCCAGGGTCTGTGCAGATTATATATCCCCATTGTGTTTAGTTTGTTGAAGACTAGTATACTCTAAACATTAATTTAGAAACAGCACTTGACTATATCAGCCTAGTAACAATTTTGTGGTTGTTCCTAATGTTTTAAAAATGTTAGAGTCCTCTTTTCTTTTTCATTGATGCTTCGGGCCCAAAACTGGCATGGGAGAGGTATAAATGAAGCTAAATACAGACTTTTAAATTTCAAAATCTGTGTGATCTGCACCCAGGACTTCAAACAGAAAAGAAATGACCAATTCTCTATGTTGTCGTTTGTTACATCCTACACAAAAATCCATTTACAATTGGAGCAGGAAAGAAGGGTGTTTCATCTAGGCTTATGAAAGATGACAATTCCTGCTGTTAACAATAGGAATGGGGGAGGCCACAGCCTGAATATTCTTTTAGATGGTGAGGATTTTTTTTAAAAGAGTCATTTAATTCTGCCTACAAGGGGAAGCATGTGACACTGCATTGGAATGCCTCAACTTACTCCTTAACTAATTGTCACTTAGAATTCCTGCATAAAATGTACAACCAATAAGGATACTCATGAATTATCAGGCCACAAGGTCAGTTTTCCTACACCTCAGAGAACTGGTTATTATGATCACAGAGAAAAGTTAAAATATTTAAAATACTTAGAATGGTACCTGGAAAGTAGTAACTGCAATACAATTGTTACTCATTATTATTATTTACCAGTGGTTCTGACCTACCAAGATTTGGGAATAGATGACATGGCAATCTTTTTCTTGCCTAGCTTCAGAGATCCATTTTGTTTTTCAAAAATTAGCTGCCACATTAATTTACTTACAATTGAACTCTTCATAAGATACCACAAGATGATAAACATTTCATATCAAAAACTGATATCAAAAGTATGAATGGCACCACAGACAATATGAAATGGGCATAAAACAAAGTTGAAATAAACAAATTTGTCTTTTGAATCTACTAACATTAGCATAAACTTCATTAAAGAAACAATTATGTTTTGGGAGAATTGTACGGCATTCAGTTGAAAACAGTGTTATATCCCATGTAGGAAAAATTAAGTCTAATTCTTCCCGCACACTCTAACACATTGTAATCTCACTCTTGGAACATTACTAATCTACTCCCCATCCTTCTTCTCTACAAAGTTCAACGTAGCCAAATAATTGCAGCAGGAGTCAGACAAATACCTCAGCAGATAGGGGCGGGTCCCTGGTGAAACTCCACCTTCAAGCTGAAAACAGACGGAAGGCTGAAAGACCAGACTGCTGGTTCCAGATAAAACCTGTGACCCACGGAGAGAACTTCTGTTCTTGTTTGCCCAGTTTTTCCCAATTGGTTCTTTCTCAATTATGTTTTTTTTTTGTTTGTTTGTTTTGAGACGGAGTTTCGCTCTTGTTACCCAGGCTGGAGTGCAATGGCGCGATCTCGGCTCACCGCAACCTCCGCCTCCTGGGTTCAGGCAATTCTCCTGCCTCAGCCTCCTGAGTAGCGGGGATTACAGGCACGCGCCACCATGCCCAGCTAATCTTTTGTATTTTTAGTAGAGACGGGGTTTCACCATGTTGACCAGGATGGTCTCGATATCTCGACCTTGTGATCCACCCGCCTCGGCCTCCCAAAATGCTGGGATTACAGGCTTGAGCCACCGCGCCCGGCCTCTCAATTATGTTTTTTAAACAGTTGACGACTGCCTTTTCCAATATTACCTACAGCCCGCCCTTCCCCTATCCTGTGCCTATAAAAAGCCCAGAGTCAGCCACACTGGGGGAGACGACCTAATTTCAGGTGAGGGAGACCACCTTCAGGCAGCTGCTCCACATAACAGGTAGCAGTGGTGGGGCCAAGCCAGCCCCCGGCGCCACAGGCCAGAGCAGGGCAACGGGCTGACCCAGCTGTTCACGTGCCACCATCCATCCAGCCGCAGATAGTGGGAATAAAATCGAATTTGCATGTTGTAATACCCCTTCTGGGGCTCCGGGGTTGTGGGCACTCCTGTCTAGCACCACTGTGTTCCCCTCGGGGCAAAATAGCTAGTCCATCTGCAAGCCTTGCATGGAGCCTGCCCCTGTGCCGGTGTTGGGAATGGCTGGCCAGACCCTGCACTCACTTTCTCACACACCCGCTCTCCCCAGGGACTGAGTATGCAATCGCTGCAGCCAGAGGCTGGAGTACAAGCCAGGCACAGCCAGGCAGGCTGAGTAGACAAGTAGACAAGGCACCTCCTGCTATATAACCTCTGCAAAGGTGACAAGAAAAATTCTGCACCACAAATCAAAGGAGCATTGACCTAGTAGAGGGTACAGATAAAATAAGAAGTCCTTAGAAAGAGGGAGAACCAAGGAAACAGAATCCACTGAAGTCTGGCTAGAGCCCAGTCTAACTTAAGTGCAGAATTTGGTGAGTTCCCTTTTTAAATCCTTGCTTTCTCGCTGGCAGTCAGTTTGATTACAGTACACTCAGGTATCCCGCACCTATATCTCTTTATTCTTAAGGAATAAGTTTCAGAATCTGGAGTCAGTCTATTGGAAAAATAGAGACTTCAGTAACAAGTTTGAGGCTGAATGTATATAGTCTTGGTCTTGGGTTATTTCCCTTTACAAATGTAAGAATTGAGTATAAGATATACATCATTTTGTATGAGAGACTTCTTCCTGGATGGGGTCAGCCAATCAGCAAAAGCCATAAGCAAGAGAAAACACTAAATATTGAAAAACATGAATCAAGGTAATGGGAAAAAGGGAAAAGAAATAGACCTTTGGATGGATAAAATAACTCCACTAAACTCTACTCATTTGCTACCTGGGGATATTTTTAAATGGGTTTTCCTCATATAAGTAATTCTTACCCTATCTTTCTAATATTGTCAGGAATCAGATGCTCTTAGCTCAGCATCTGGTGGGCTAAGGTGACACCCAAGTGCTCACTACATGGAAAATGGAGGGTCAATTTTACACAAGGCTGTCAGACTATATACAATCGTACATCTAGATGGTAGAGGGAGAGAAATGGCTTGAGCAACTGAATCAGCTCATGGAGTTTGCATAAGATACTAAAAGCTGTTCAAAGTAAGAGAACTGAAAATAAAAGTTGGGAGCCAAATTTAAATGGGATCCACAATGGAGTAGACAAGATGCTGGAGGAAAAGCAGAACTCTCATCTGGAGTAAAGTCAAATTGAAGACTAAAAAGGAAATAAAGTGTCACAGAGAAAGAGGAGGAATAGGGCCCCAGGAGCTAAGATAAAAATTTACTGAGCAATTTATTGCTATATTAATTGACTGTCACCGGCCTAGCAGCAAATCAGCAAGAGGGGTTTTGTAAAGGCATACTGTGGGTTCTGACAGCAGCTTATATCATAGCAAACCTCCTTCAAATCGGTATGTGTTACGATACTTCACCAAAACCCTACATCTCATGAAGTCTTCCATTTACATGTGAACTGCACCAACTACATTGTACCTTACCAAGTCCAGTTTATCTACATCACATAGCACAGTCAGATAATCAAAAAAGCCTTAAAGATCCCCCAGCAAAGGCTTAAATAATTTCCAACAAAGGCACTTTGAAACTTAGAAAAAATGTATTCAAAGCGAAGGATGTTTTTCACTCCTTGTTTAGAAAAAACTGGGCCAGCATTCATTGATTTATTCAAGGATATTTATTTAACCACCTGCCACAAGCCAAGCATTGAAGATACAAAGATGAAGAAGACAGTATATGGGCCTCAAGAGACTCACAGTGTGTAGGGAGGCGGGGGTGGGGTGGGGTGGAGACAGGCATGTAAATTAGTAAGGATAATAAAACATTACAGGTTCTGTAACAGAAGTACATTGATGATAAAATAGGAACATAAAAAAGGAGAGTGATGAATTCTACAGGGGTTGGGGACTCATAAAGTCTTTAGAGAAAAGGTGACCCTTTAAAAAATAAATGCAGCAAATCAGGACATTAATATCTATTACACAAAAGAAAATCACATACATATAATTTGTTCTTCATTACAAAAGAGTGATATCTATTTAGGGATGGACAGGCTATACGTTTGTAAAACTCCTGTCATTTCAGAAGTGCTCCACTAGCCTCTTTGACAATTGAATACATTTTGGTTGTCATGGTAACAATCAATACCCAAATATACAACTTATAATAGGCTTTGTTCACAAGGAAAATTAGGACAAAAGTTTTGTTCTTATATATTGTACATGAAGATCTTAGTCATAATTTGGGTACATATATATCTGCCTGGATATTATTGGCCATACAGATACCCTTAGAGATTTTTTTTCTGAACACTCACCATTCATGTTTATATCTCTTCTAGGGTCGTTATTTTGAAGTAAGTTACCAGGTAGCTTATGAACTAATAAAGCAGAATTGCATTTATTAGAAATAAAACTTCGGCTACTGGTATCCAGGTTAGCCTCTTTCCAAAGCAAAATACATAGTCAATACAATGTTAATTTACCCACTATGGTTTACCCCAGCACTTTCAGAAAGAATTTTACTAACTTGACTCACTCAAAATAAAATCCATCATTTGAAGAAGAACTAACAGATTAATGAAAGAGAATATAAAACAACATAGATTTTAAGGACACTAATAAAATTCACTTAAGAAATTTCTCCATTTATAATAGCTTAGCAATTACATTATTATCCTATTGTCTGAAACAAAGGAAATCATATTTTTGTTGTGTCCATTCTCAAGATGAATGCAGAAACCAAGTTCAAGCTCCATAATTGTTAAATTCAGTTTTCTATTAGGAAAATAACACATTAAAGATGAACACAGAAATGATAGAAATAAAACTTCTAAGCTGGAAACTGACTTCATTACTGTTAAATCATATTAATAATTTCTAATTGATTTGTATTGGGCAGGCATCTTATATTCCAGAACCACGTTCATCTATTTATCACAATGTATTCTATATGACATATGGAAACTAATACATTACTTCATTAATATTTAAGTCTTTCTCTAGTTATGGCTCAGAGATATTTAACATTCTAAAACATAAGCATTTATAATTACATGTTTTACATTTTACTCTAATTTTTAATACTGCCAAGATTATTTAGCATAACTAACTTTTTAACTACATACTCTTTCTCTCTTTACCATTAGCATATCAATCAAATTTGCATTATTCTGCTTTGCTCATTTTATTAAAAGCAAATTCAGGGCACAATTGACTTTTCATTTGTTTAACAAGTGAAGAAATATTTACCCTGACAGCCATTGTTCATTGTAGAGATTCATCATCATAGTATAATGTGCTACCTGTGAATCAAGAAGAAAAGATGGCATACATTTCAGTTACACAAAGACAGTGCAGCCTATTTTTACATATAAAAGATAAGAATCTTTATACATAATACATAATAAGAGTTCTAGCCTTAGAAAAATGAAATCAAACGTTGTATTGAAGAGATAGGCTTCCTAATACATAATGCAAGCTTAACCAGAAAAATCTATGGTAGTCAAACTAGGAGCTAATGGAGATATATGATCATAAAATGCTGTCTGCTGAGTTTGATAAACAATGGTGCTCTACTGAGAATAGAATAACAAAGCAGAAATATTCACAACCGCTGGTGACATGTAGTATTGTATGATTTATTCACTGGGGTTCTTTTAGCCAAAACTCACAGAAACATAAAGGAAATTTATATTTCAAGATGTCTGGTTTAATGAAAAATTCAAAGAAATGCTGTCTTCAGTCGAAATTGTTCAAGAATATGGATGCAGTGATGGAGCAAAATTGTGCCTTCCAACCATCTATGCAAAATGTTATGTACTTAGCTGCCTCCTGAGTAATCCCTGGGAATTTTGTTTCATTTAACATTCATTTTAACACCATAAAATCATAAATACAATGATATCATGTTACAGCAAATCCCTTGATATAGCGAAGACTTCCTGAAGTGTTGGTTTCTCTCTATTTATCTATTAATATACAAATTTCTGTTTCAGTAAATCAGTTGACAATGTAGCTTATTTTAATGAAAATATTACTTTAAATAAAGCTTCCCCATCTGCTCTTAATTAAAAATATAAAATTAATATAATTCATGACAGTACAATAAACAATAAAAGCAATGAGATACATATAAGATATTTTTAACTTTATTATTATTCAGTCAAAATTTATTCACTATAACTTGAGCCCAGGTAACAGGTATTATGTTTCAGTCAAAAATCAGAATAAAGTGCCTTAACTCTTTATACAGGGGCTTTCTGCCCCATGACAAACAGAAATTCATATAAAAAGGTTTCACTGTAATTAGTGTTGTTTGAATTGCCTGGTCTGATCCAAAGCAAATTGTCTGTGGAGAACAGCAGGGCTGGATTATTTATCAACAGTCTGAGCAATTTACAAACGGTTGGGCCGGGCGCGGTGGCTCACACCTGTAATCCCAGCACTTTGGGAGGCCGAGGCGGGTGGATCACGAGGTCAACAGATCGAGACTATCCTGGTCAACATGGTGAAACCCCGTCTCTACTAAAAATACAAAAAAAAAAATTACCTGGGCATGGTGGCGCGTGCCTGTAATCCCAGCTACTCAGGAGGCTGAGGCAGGAGAATTGCCTGAACCCAGGAGGCGGAGGCTGCGTGAGCCAAGATCGCACCATTGCACTCCAGCCTGGGTAACAAGAGCGAAACTCCATCTCAAAAAAAAAAAAAAGAAACAGTTGGCCGGGCGCGGTGGCTCACGCCTGTAATCCCAGCACTTTGGGAGGCCGAGGCGGGTGGATCACGAGGTCAACAGATCGAGACCATCCTGGTCAACATGGTGAAACCCCATCTCTCCTAAAGATACAAAAAATTGGCTGGGCATGGTGGTGCGTGCCTGTAATCCCAGCTGCTTAGGAGGCTGAGGCAGGAGAATTGCCTGAACCCAGGAGGCAGAGGTTGCCGTGAGCTGAGATCACGCCATTGCATTCCAGCCTGGGTAACGGGAGCGAAACTCCGTCTCAAAAAAAAAAAAAAAAGAAAGAAAGAAACAGTTGGTTGCAATATGTCGTTTACAAATGAACACAACGGTGTTTCTTCATTTTAAATTCTTTTTCTTCATGATGGTAAGCAAGGCATAATTGGTGTTTGAGGTGATTTAAAATATTTACTTTAATATTGCACTTCTTGAAGTCATATTGAAGCAGACATTGCTATTAAGCATTTCTATAAAGAAGAAATACATTGAATATTATATATTTCCAAAAGTTTGGATTCCAAAAAAGATGTTTCTTGCCTTTATTATATCACTGTTTAGTTACCAGTAGAGTGTATGTGTGAGCTTCTGAGCCACAGACCCAAGTTCAATTCTTGACTTTGCTTTTAACAGCTGTGTGGCCTTGAACCACCTACTGAAAGTCTCTCAGTCTTCATTTCCATGCTTATGAAACAGGTCATTATATATTTCATTGAGTTGTTGTGAAGAGTTAAATGATATACAGTATCTAAGGTGCTCAGGACATAGTTGATAGTCATTATGAAAGGGATTATCAGCAGTGCTCACGTTACACATTTTGTAGTTAAAAGTATGTAATTTAACTATAAGTAAAATTCCAAAAAGTATAAAGGGCTCAATTTTATTATGAACTAACAGGAAAAAGAGATTCAGATTTTGAGCCTAAGAATTCTGAATCCTGTCGTTAAGAGGTAAGAAAGCACTTTGATTCTCACACATTATTCTTACGTGAACCACTAATTGACACCACGTTTATTCTCAACTGTCTAGCCCAGATGCTTTAGAAAGAACTGAAAGAAGCATATGCAACTAAAATAGTCATATTCATAGAGACAGAAACTAGAAAGTGGTTACAGGGGCTGGAGGGAAGGGAGAGTTATCGTTTAACATGTACAGAGTTTCAATTTGAGAAGATGAAAAAGTTCTGGAGATTAACAGTGGTGTGGTTACATAACAGCCTGAATATACTTAATGCCACTGAATAATACAAGTAAAAATGATAGAAGTGGTAAATTTTATGCTATGCATATTTTACCACAAGTTTTTAAAAAACTACGTATGTAATAAACCTGCACATTCTGCACATGTACCCCAGAACTTAAAGTATAATTAAAAACACACACACAAGAGAATATATAAATAGCTACATTACCTGATAATGAATGGAAGGCACTATGGTAAGATTACTACACAATGCAATAAAGTCTGCTGGAAATAATTAAGAGTGGAAGACCACTCTACACAGGAGTGGGAGGAAGGAAAGATTCCTTATTGTTGTATATTTGTACTGCATGTAACAAATGACAGATATTTTAGTAAGGCCCAGCGCTGTGACTCATGCCTGTAATCCCAGCACTTTTGGAGAACAAGGTGGGCGATCACCTGAGGTCAGGAATTTAAGACTAGACTGGCCAACATGGTGAAACTCCATTTCTGCTAAAAATATGAAAATTAGCTAAGTGTCGTGGCAGGCGCCTGTAATCCCAGCTACTCAGGAGGCTGAGGCAGAAGAAGTCCTTGAACCCGGGAGGCAGAGGTTGCAGTGAACTGAGATCATGCCACTGCACTCCAGCCTGGGCGACAGAGTGAGACTCCGTCTCAAAAGAAAAAAAAAAGAGGCTTGAATAAAGTGTGTTCTGGCAGCATATTATTGTACTCCATGTGGGAAGGAGAATAGCTTAAAGTCCTTTCCTCCAGAGAGCATTCCCTGACTTCCCAGACTACAATTAGGCCTTTCCATGTTACAGTCTCATAGCTCTTCATAATATTTACCACAATCATATTTAAAAATTATTTAATGATGGTCTCTTCCACTAAACTTGAAAACGTCGAAGGCAATAATCTTGTCTATTTTGTCCCATACTGTATTCCCCATGGCCTCAGGAGAGATCACTGGTGTCACTCCTAACACTCAATCTTTGTCTTACCAAAGGTGCTAGCTGAGGGAGAAACATGCCTGTTGGCATATTCCATCCCAGTGAAAAGTGCCACTCACAGGCTTCCCTCACTAGATCTACTCCCAACATTGAAACCTTTCCCTACTTTAGGATGACAAATTGCTGAGGAATCCATGAGTGCCCTATCCTCTTCATAAGTAAAATCCTGGGTGATGATAGGAAAAAGACTGGCAAACATGAAAGGAGCTGTTGAGAGACATAGAAGAAAATAAATATATTTTACTAATTAAAACTTTATGTGTCAGGCACAGTACCCAACATTTTACATACCAGTAAATTAACTCATACATAATCCTTTCAATACCTCTATGAAGAAGAGAATTATTATCCCTATTTGAGAAAAAAAGATACCGCTGTGGAGAAAGTATTGTAATATACCCAAGGTCACATCTATAGTAAGTGTCGTAGCTGACATTTAATCCTTGGTAGTCCTGCTCCAGAGGTTGGGTTTTTTGCTTTTTGTTTTTTGTTTTTTGAGACGGAGTTTCGCTCTTGTTACCCAGGCTGGAGTGCAGTGGCGCGATCTCGGCTCACCGCAACCTCCGCCTCCTGGGTTCAGGCAATTCTCCTGCCTCAGCCTCCAGAGTAGCCCGGCCAGAGGTTGGGTTTTTAACCATCCCTGCTTCTAAAGGAGAAGAGAAATGAAGAGAGGAGAAGAAAGGGAAAGTAAAATGGAAGAAAAGGAAAATACAAAAAAAATTTTATGTAGGGGCCGGGCGCGGTGACTCACGCCTGTAATCCCAGCACTTTGGGAGGCCGAGGCGGGTGGATCACTAGGTCAAGAGATCAAGACCATCCTGGTCAACATGGTGAAACCCCGTCTCTACTAAAAATACAAAAAATTAGTTGGGCATGGTGGCATGTGCCTGTAGTCCCAGCTATTCGGGAGGCTGAGGCAGGAGTATTGCCTGAACCCAGGAGGCGGAGGTTGCGGTGAGCCGAGATGGCGCCATTGCACTCCAGCCTGGGTAACAAGAGCGAAACTCTGTCTCAAAAAAAAAAAAAAAAAAAAAAAAAAAAAAGAACCTCTTCTTATGCAAGAAGTTTGGGTGTAGGCAGAAGAAGAAAGCTGCTAGTGGTTTTCTTACCCAACGTCTATTAATATGTTGGTACTAATTATCTTTTCAGAATGGTTTACTTTTATTTTATTTAATTTATTTTTGAGACAGGATCTTGATTTTTCACCCAGGCTGGAGTGCAGTAGTGCAATCTCGGCTCACTGCAACCTCTGCCACACAGGTTGAAGCGATTCGCCTGCCTTAGCCTCCCCAGTAGCTGGGATTACAGGCATGCGCCACCAAGCTCCGTTAATTTTTATATTTTTAGTAGAAACGGGATTTCACCATGTTGGCCACGTAGGTCTCGAATTCCTGGCCTCAGGTGATTCGCCCGCCTCAGCCTCCCTGAGTGCTGGGATTACAGGCATGAGCCACCACTCCAGGATACTTTCATTTTAAAAAGGCAAATGACTGTAATCCCAGCACTTTGGGAGGCCTAGGCGGGTGGATCACGAGGTCAACAGTTCGAGACCATCCTGGTCAACATGGTGAAACCCCGTCTCTACGGAAAATACAAAAAATTAGCTGGACATGGTGGCGCATGCCTGTAATCCCAGCTACTCAGGAGGCTGAGGCAGGAGAATTGCCTGAACCCAGGAGGCAGAGGTTGCGGTGAGCCGAGATCGCGCCATTGCACTCCAGCCTGGGTAACAAGAGCGAAACTTCGTCTCAAAAAAAAAAAAAAAAAAGGCAAATGAGTCAAAGAACAATTGAGTTCAGTGACGTTTGTGAAATCCTGGAGGCTCAAATCCCTAGGTAGATGGGGAGCACTCGGAACTCAGTGGGCTAGTGAGCCAGGGTGAACCCGTCAGGGTATTGAATCTTGAACCCGAAGAACGTAGGTTTCATCAAATCAGAGTGGTGATATCGAAGAAAAAAAACACTTTACAATTTTATCTATGCTGAGAGTTTCTCTAAATCCTCTCACACTGAGTATCTATGGCCCCTATCTATTTAGAATTTTGTTGTGTGGTAATACAAACAAACGATTATGTTTCCAGCCCATTAAGGGGAGAATTGGGTGTTACTTAATGAATTAGGGAAATCGTTAATTGGTAACTCCCGCTGAGGAACAACTGATAGCAAGTTATGCCAGCCCTTTACGCGATCCTTCTCTTTCTGACTTACCTGTTCCTAAAGTAGTACTCATTTCCTACAGTCAACGACCTAGCTTGCAGCCGGGCTAAAGTGGCCATGGTCTCTTGGCCTTCGCTTTACAACTGGTGTGCCTACCGGTGTCCATGGTAACTGGGCTAAACCATAGCTCACTCCCGGGGTTCGATTGTTTGTTCACTCCTCTTTTCTCTGACGCTATTTCGACTTTAAGAGTACTAAAAAGACAACTAAGAAATTTCTTTGCAGCACAAAAAGTTTATTTGTCTCTGTCTCTACTGCGAGTATGAAGAGGGAATTATAGGAAGGGAAAGCAGTAAGCGAGGAGAACTAATGGTTGCTCCGGGCATCGGGTTTCGGCCTCAGCCGGCTTCCGGAAGCTCATCTCAAAATGCTGAACTGTATTTTGCAAGTCGCCGGTGCTGTAGTAGTTGGAGTGTGTTCACGGGCCTGAGCCTCGAGGCCAGGCTCTTGGGTGTCGTTAATGTTCGGGGCCGCCGGGCGCCAACCGATCGGAGCTCCTGCAGCCGGGAACAGCTGGTGAGTCTGGTGGCCCTGGGGAGGGGGAAGTCAGGGAAGGGTATGATGGCCTGAGGCCGCTCCGCTGGACCTGGAATGGAAGCGGGAGGGAGCTGTGATGGATGGTCTGAAGACATCTAGGCCTTGCTCTCACTCATTCCTGAGATGCAGTGCATCTGCAATTGAATACAAGTCAGTGGAGCTTGGCTTCCTTTCCACTTTTAACTGGGAAGGTTTATTTAATCTTTTTAAATTTACATATGTATATTTTTAAGGTGGAAATAGGTCAGATTCACAGCATTATTATTATTTTTATTTTTATTTTTTTTAAGACGAAGTCTCCCTCTGTCTGGAGTGCAGTGGCATGATCTCTGCTCACTGCAACCTCTGCCTCCTTGGTACAAGCGATTCTCTTGCCTCAGCCTCCCGAGTTGCTGGGATTACAAGCTCACAGCACCACGCCTGGCTAATTTTTGTTGAGATGGGATTTCATTAGTATCACATTTACATATCTGATTTGGAAACACAAAGTTTTAAGTAAATGATGTTGTTGAAAGCATCTGTTAATATATTCAGCAAAAGGCACTTTTCTTTCTGAAATACAACAGGCTTTTCTAATGATGGTTTAAAAAAAATGATACATTCTTTCTACATCATCTGATATACATCCTTTGCCCCATTTTTTGTTTCATCCTTTGTGTCACCATCTATGGAAGGTGGGGAAGTGAGGACAGTACTAATATATTTAAACTCAAGATGGTTTAGATTTATGATGTGATATACCAACTTAAATTTATGCATCAAAAAAGATTTATTTAAGGAGATAAATTTAAACTATAGTAAACTCTTGTGCTTGTCTGTTGAAGTCTCACTTTTTATATAATTATGATACATTCCTAAGTGAAACAGATTATTTGATTTTTATCCTAAAAATGTGTGTACATAACAATAAAGTTATTGTAGCAAAAAAATATATTTTATACTTGGAGTAAATCTTCAAAATCTTTCGTGTATTTTATACTTTGAATACATCTTAATTTAACAGCTGCATATATCTAGTGGCTGCCATATTGGATGGCCCAGCTAAAGGCTCTGACCACATAGACAATCACTGAGCTTAAGGGTAGTTTTATTTCTTTTACTTTTCTCATTTCATTTGGTAAGATCACAATAGCCTGTAGTTATATAATATATGAAAGTAGGACATTTTATCAGCAGCAGATAGGTGGTGCCCTGGTTGCAGGCTTTGATGGATTCTCAATGAAAATCTGTTTGTCTAGTATTTATAAATATTTTTCAGTAAATTTTGTAAAGATTGCCTTATACGGAACATAAAGAGTAAATATCTGGGTGGTCAGAATTTAGTATTTGGCATTCACCTACAGGTGTGTTGGTCAACCCCAAGGTAATGTCTGAACATTTAAACTCTTAATGATTTTTATGTGCTAAGTGCATAGATTTACTGCTACAGTGGAAACATTTTTAAATTAAAATATATCTTTCATTCTGAATGTATTGATTTACACATCTCTGTGTCAATATTAAGTCAAGGGAAATTTCCGATAAGTTAAAAAGATCTGGCAGGGCAAGTTAAATTTATTAGATTTGTTATAGGGTTTTTTTTTCTTGTTGTGTTTGGACATCTCTGCTTTTTTTTTTTCTTGATTAGAATTTTATTTTAAAAATACGACTAAAAATTTAATAGCACATTCCCATTGCCTCTTACTTTTTTGTGTGATTGCTCCCTTTAATGACTTGCCATTGCAAACCTTCACTTTCCGAACAGATGCCTGGCATTCTTTGCCACTGTTTTTTTAAAACAATGTATTTTTAAGTATTCTTACACTATTGTAAGATATATCATTGTTTGGATTTTATTTATGTTGAAAAACTAAGCTGTATTTCTTTGTATCCTTTGTGTGTGTGTGTTTAGGTGTGTTACACCTTTTAAAAAATCATACTGCAAAGTAAGATTACCGTAACTCACTGGAAATATTTAACAAGGGTTGAAAAGATTTAGGAATAATCCACCACAGTATCAAAGTGTACATCTAAATGAAGGATTTACATTTGATGTTATAAGTGAAAACGTTGCATATTTTCACTACCTCAAAATATCAGTTTTCAAGTCTTTGGGATGTGGGAGAGTATTGGTCATTCTATGTCCACACACTAAAAAGGTAAATACTGGTAGTCTTGATTCATCAAGTGATGCTACTCCAAGTTTATTGATGTACTCATTGGATTATGTTTTTACATAGGTATTTTAGACTAGCACCAATATGTCTGTCCTGATATGCCATTAATTCAAAGTTGACTTTAAAAGACAAAAGAGGTAGTAAGTATGCTTAATATCAAAATAAGTGGATTGTGTGAAAAGAGGGAAGTGAGAGTGCTATTCAATTAGTAAAACATAGTTTGTAAATGGGTAAAAACTTTGATATAAGAAGAGAAGGCAGAAAGTGGTACCAGAAACTTTAATCAGGTCTTAGTGAACTCATCAAGAGGTAGGCCAAGCGCAGAGGCTCATGACTGTAATCTCAGCTCTTTAGGACACCGAAGTGGGAGAATCACTTTAATCCAGGAGTTCAAGACCTGCCTGGACAACATAGTGAGACCTCTGTCTTCAAAAAGTTTAAAAAAATTAGCTGGGCATGGTGGCATGTGCCTGTATTCCCAACTACTTAGGGAGGCTGAGGTGGGAGGATCCCTTGGGTCCAGGAGCTTTTGAGGCTGTAGTCAGCTATGATCATGCCACTGCCCTTAAATCTGGACAATAGAGCGAGACCCTGTCTTAAAAAAAAAAGTGACAGAAAGATTTCTATTCAAAACACAACAAAACTACTTTTTGTGTCTTGGTGATATTAACTTGCAGTTTAAACTGGTAAATCTCCTCCTGCCCTTAAGTCAAATCTGCCTAGTGCTTTGTGATTGCGCCCGCCCACTGCCCCCCCCAGATGAAGTAGAGTTTGCAGTAAAAATTAAAACCAGGCCGGGATAGTAGCTCACACCTGTAATCCCAGCACTTTGGGAGGCCAAGGTGGGCAGATAACCTGAGGTCTGGAGTTCCAGACCAGCCTGGCCAACATGAAGAAACCCCATCTCTACTAAAAATATAAAATTAGCCAGGCATGGTTGCACATGCCTATAATTCCAGCTACTCAGGAGGCTGAGGCAGGAGAATCCCTTGAACCCAGGAGGCAGAGGTTATGGTGAGCCAAGATCATGCCATTGCACTCTGGCCTAGGAGACAAGAGCAAAACTCCATCTCTAAATTAATAAATAAATAAAGCAAAGCCAGATTTTATATAATACTTTAGACTTTGCTATTGATAACCAATACTTTTATGGGTTTCTTGACTTTGACCTGTTAGTACTTAAGGAATTCCATTCACCATATAATAAAACTGAATTTTGTCTGTAGACAAAATAGCTGCCTGATTTCAATGGATGTGTAGACATAACATTTTATAATAGCTAAAGCTAATACTAATTAAATACTAAGTAAAGTTTTTACACAAGCATGCTCATTTAAACTCACACTACCATATAACATGGATACTCTCAGTTTTACAGATTGGGAAATCAAGACATAGCTTAAATAATTTCCTCAAGGTCACAAAGCTATAGCAAGTGGCAGAGGCCAGAATTGAAACTGGGTTTCCATAGAGTCAAAGATCATGTTCTTAAGTGTTAGAGTATACTGCCACCTCTCCCAGTAAAAGTGTCTGGTTTTATAATCAGTTGAGTTGTATTATTATCCTTACTTTTAAAGAAAAGATAACGTTTTTGAAATTTGATTGGGGAATTTTCTGCCTTAAAGTAGGATAAGGAATTTTGTTAAAGCCTTTTATTATCTTTCCAGTGGTCCTGTACTTATAGACAGATGCAGGTTTCTACTAAATCTTTGTTTAGCTATTCAATCTATGCCGGTATGAAATAGCACTCTTATGTGAAAATATTTGTGCACTATCCAATTAGCAAATATATTATAAATTGTATTTTTTCAGGCATGATATTAGCCATTAATCTGCTTTGCACATTCCTGTTTTAGAGTTTTTAAGAACTAGGCAGCAAAAGCAAAACAATGCTAAAAAGCCAAAATATGACCACCAGTGCTTGCGATATATTCAGTCATCTGCTTAATCCTTATCCCCTTCGCATTGTCAATACCCATCTAATTCCACTTTAACAACAGTAATTGGCTGATGGAGTAGAAGATATAGATTTGTTTTCTTGATGACTCCTTGACTTTTTTTTCCTCTGGGAATACTAATAGAATTCCAAATCCGTACTGGTGCGATCATGTCATGAGTAGGTCAACAGTCATGTCAAGGTCCTATTGGAAACCTCATAGCCAACATCTTAATTTAGACTTAGCTATCTTTTTCACTTGTATGTGCAATTGTAAGCAATTTTTTCAAGTCTCAGCTCTCCATTATAACAGAATTCATTTAGTTCAAAGGGTGATAGTTCTGCATGTGAATTATGTGGCTGAGGCTGGCTGCAATGGAGTAAATAGAAGGTATAAAAATGTGGGGACCCATTTCCATAGTAATATACATGTGTTTCCTTTTTGAAGTTACATAGGTTCAACAAAAATAGGAAAACTCTTA